CATACAATCTTGGCTTTCTCTCCTTCCCTTCTTTGATTCTGCTTCCTGACCTTCTGAGACCACAGCATTCAAAACGTCTGAGTCTTCTAACTCCTCCTGCGGAAAACAGGAAAAGCACACAAACGTTTAGGATGGAGGCATGAGGATTTATTTTATTTATTTATTTAATTTATTGGCCGCCTTTCTCCCGAGAATGGGACCCAAGTTGGCTCACAATATTAAAAAGAATAGAGTTTAAAACATAATAAGTGAAATGCTAAAAAAAAAAAGATTAAATGATGTGCCCATTAAAATACAATTGGAGTACAGTATTAAACACAATAAACCTTGATACCCATCAGTTTTAGGCAACCTTGTGCGGTGTGGAGTGATGGGACTCGCTGGTCAATATTTTCTGGAGGGGTGCAAGTTCCTGATGTATAATCTGGGGCAGAGCTAAGGGGTGGGTGGTAAAAAAAGGACGCAGACGGGCTGCCTGCGTTCGCCATTCCGGAAATCGGAGAGGGCGGGGGAATTAAGTTTTCTGTCTTGCTGGTAACTTGTGGTTTTGCTTCCCTCCGCCTCCCCTCTGGACACAGCTTCTCCATCTCTCTGAGAAAACTGAAACCTTTTGACTGTCAAGAGAAGCAAAAACTGATAGTAAGTCAAGCCCTTGGGCCCCCCTTCCGGGCTGTCCGTTTGCTTCTCTGCCTCAAAAGAGAAGAAAGACCGCTCAGTTGCACGGGACGAAAGGGGCTCACCGTTTGGCTTCTGGTCTCGTGCTTCTCCCTGTCCTAGGATGAAGCCCGAGAAAACTACGAGCATGAAATCAATTGGTGCATCAACTTGATAGAAGACTACAGAATCAGAGTAGGTAAGCCCGAGGGTGGAGGGTCGTTCTTTCCCTTTGGCAGGCAGAACCCTCTCAGATTTGTCTTCCACGGGCAAAGGGACCTCCTCCTGCAACCCCAGGGAGCTCCCTGGGTCTGAAAACTTCCGTAGAATCCTAGAATGATGGAGTTGGAAGGGGGCCTCTGAGGTCATATGTTCCAACCCCCTGCTCAAGGCAGGAATCAAGATCCAAGCTGATCAGACAGAGGGTGGTCCAATTTTCTCTTGAAGGCCTCCAGCGTTGGAGCACTCACCACTTCGCTAGATCAATTGATCCATTGTCGTACTTACTCTAACAGTTAAGAGTTTTTTCAGCCGAAATTTGGCTTCCTGTCGCTTGAGCCCATGATGACGTGTCCTGCACTCTGGGATGATGGAGGACAGATCCTGCCCTTCTTCTGTAGGACTACGTTTCAAGTCTTTGAAAAGTGCTCTCCTGTCTCCCCTCCATCATCTTTTCTCAAAGCTAAACATGCACAGTTCTTTCCGTCTTTCCTCCTTCTAAGGCTTAGGTTTCCAGCCCCATGATCCTCCTCCTTGCCCTCCCTTGAACTGGCTCCAGTTTGTCAGCCTTCTTCTTCACATGCGGTGTCCAGAACTAGAACACAGGACTCTGTAAAGGAGGCTAAACCAGTGCTGAATTTAATTCACCATGTTCTGCTTTGTGCAAAGAACAGTGGACAGCAATGTAACAGTGATGTTACAAACATGCCCGTTTGGGAAACGGGAGTTTAACTGAGCTCTTTTCTGGCCTACTAGGTTGCTGCTCGTTCAGAGGGTCCTTCTTGGAGTATTGTTCGGACGCCATGAGTAAGTTGGTTTCCAAAATCGTAAACCCCCTGCTGCCCTCAGATAGCCTCTCTGCGCCTGTTTTGGGGAATTTGCAGGCCTCCAGGAGTATCCACGTGGTAGGTGTAAAAAAGAGAGCAGAAGAAGGGGTCACTCTATCCACTACACCACATGGGTCCGGCTTTGCTTCCCAAATAAATCCGGTCGGATGTGTCCAGAGCGATCCAAGGAGGATTCTTCTCCCAGAAATAAATGGGGTGGGTTTTTCTTCTTGGCCAGAATGAGCCAAGGGGTGACCTTGCAGATACAGGCTCTGGATTCCCCCCACACCTCTGCCTCACCCCTGTGCTGACCAAGGCTGATGGGAGTTGCTGTTCCACCCAGAAAGCCTCAAACCCGCCCACCTCCCGTTCAGTCGCAAGAGGGTGCGATGCCCGTCTCCCGTCTCGTCCTTTCCAGGTTACCCAGTTCGAAAAGAAGCCCCTCACAACCTCTCCCAGATGAATTTCCCCCAGGTCGAGGAAGGGGACTCCCAGGGGTCTCTCTCTGAGACCCCGCCCAACCAGCGGGTGAAGAAAGTCCTTCCCGACCGGACGCGGGCGTTGAGGGACCGAGCCAACGGGAAGATTGTGGATTTCATCGTGAAGGCCAAGGGGGCCGATGGGCACCTCCGGTCTGTCCTGAAGAACGAGAAGCCCTCCAGGTGGCTGGCCCGCTTCCTCCACGCCCGTCCGTACCTGAGCAGCGTCGAGACGTACCTGGAAGACGACTCCCAGCAGGACCGCGTCTTCAGCCATTTGCAAGGGGTGTATCGAGCGATCGACCCAGATACCTTGCCCCTGGTGAATGGAGACCAGGTCAAATTCATCCTGGACGTCCTTTTTCCTGAGGTGAGGAAGGCCACTTTGTCCAGCAGGTAGGAAAAGGGGTATGTGTGTGTGTGTGGGGGGGTGTTGGGCACCATTCGACGGCCGGGCAGCTCGGGGGTGACCGGTTGAAGCGGCGCAGTGGTTTCTGCTACTTCCTCCTCATTGTAGCCTTTCTGTGAATGTGGCCAATTTGCGCTCTTGATTGTCCTTTTCTCTCTCTGTGGTTCACGCCCCCCAGGCCATCATCTACGCCATTTCCGCCATTGATCAGATCGATTACAAGAAGGCAGAAGATAAGTATATTAAAGGACCACTGGTGAGCCAAAGGTAATCTATCGGGGATGATGGCAAATCTGGGGGTCCGAGCCCCAATTTCCGAGTGTTTGGGTCAGAGTCTGGAATCTATTAAAAATAAGCTTCCCCCCCCCCCAAAGAAAAGAGAGACTTGATTCACGAGACACAAAAAAGAACGGAGGTGCTGGTGGGCGAGGGACCCAAGCTTGGGAACCAGTGTGAGAGAGGCCACTCCCGAATCTCATCTCACAGGAATTACCCCTTGCCACGTTTTCTCCTGCCACCTTGTCTGTTGCTGTTTCATTTAATTTAGTCCTGTTTTTTCTTTCTGAATCCTTCAGAGAGAGACAAATATTTGAAGAAGAAATTTTGGAGCAGAAGAGGAAGCAGCAGATGGAGAGAGGATCCCTGGAGGACTGCCTGTGAAACCTTCTCCGACCTGACCTGCATAGGCAGCCTCTCCTCTGATGAGTCCGAGCGCACTTATTTTGTATAAGATGAGACACTTTATTTTTTAAGTACTCGCCTTGACATCCGATGAAATGTGCTTTAATAAGTGGATGTGGCCCCCGTATTAACTGCCTGCCCAGCCAGCGACTAGAAGAAATTTCACAATCAATTTCTGGTGTTGATACCAGCCCAGCGCCGCGTCGGGCAACACCTGGGTGTTTAAAATAAACCATTAAAAACACCACCAGTGTCTGCCGTGCAGAGAGACTGGCCATAACTCTTAAGACAGGAACCAGGTGGTCTTTCTGACGTCTGCAGACTATGGCTCCCATTAGCCCTGGCTGCCAGAGCCAGGGACGATGGGATTTCAAATCTTAACAATACCCGGCAAGCCATCCCTGCCTTAAGAGGAGATATTTTCGAGCGACCGGTGTGTGTAGGTGTGTCGTTGCCTTTGCTACATGTACAGGTTTTCCTTGGGATCAATTTGTGAGATTAAACCGAGCTTCTGCCCACCAGACATATGATAGAATCTCATTCCAGCATAACCATTTTTTGGCCTCTGCCACCATGGTGGTTTTGAGCAATCTGTTTAGCTGCACAGGGTGATGAAATTGCAAGAGCGTGGCGCTCTGGATTTTCACAAATGTTGTATGCATCTACCTCCCCCATGTTCTCTGGAATTACTACTACATTTTTTTTTAATTTGGGAAAAAAGAAAATAAAATGACCCTCAAACGGGTCCCTTGGTTGCGTGGCTTCTCTTTATGGAGGTGGGCTGGACTTCTTGAGCGATATATGATGGGTGGGATCTCGCTCTTCTCTGCAACCTGTCCAGAAATGCACACACATCCCCCCAAAAAATCTATGCTAAGGGGCGTGGAAATTCTCCAGAGAACGTTTTGGTCATTGCTGGCAGGTGGGGGGCGGGAATGAGAAAGATGCAAAAAAAAAAAAAAAAAAAAAAAAAAAAAGGCCACAGCTACCCAAGGGAGAGAAAAAAACGAGTCAAAAACCGCCAAATAAAAAGGTCTGAATCAACCCCAAATGCCTGCAGGGTTCTGTGTAGGGACCAGCAGGTCAATGAAGACTCGGAGGTTGGAACAATTCTCATTTCTGGCTTGCAAGCCTCTCCTTGCAAAAATGTGATTCCTCGTTACCCACGCTGGATTGCACGAACCAACTTCCCTTGGCCAAATCCTGCTTCTATACGAGGAATCAAACTGGAGGGTTTAATACTCTTTTTTTAGGTTTTCCAGCCGTCACATCCTTGGGCACGTGACACTCAAGGCGGGTCTTCTGAGCCCGTGGCTCCCGGAAGGATGGCCCGTGGCCCCTTGTGCGGATTCTGATTCATGAGGTTGCCGCCGGAGTCTGTCTGAAGTGTGAAAAGGGGTTCCAGAGGGGTTGAGGAAGACTAGTTAAATATTTTTTAAAAATAAAATAAAACCAGCCCGAGTCCCAGGATTTAGTTTTAAAAGTTAAAAGGCTGAACGTACAAAAATGCGGGAAGAAACCAAGGGCACCAAGTGGAGTTAAGCAGGAACTCGTTTGTTCATCTGTTTTTTGTGGTGTGCAATTCTGCGTTGGTGCAAAACGTCTTAACGCTTGTGCAAACACATAGTGAATCTCCCCTCTGGAGGCTTTCAGGAAAATCTCTTTTTTCCCCACTCTCCCTTACCCTGAGCTTGGATTGCTATTGTCTGCGTGTCAAAACAAATACTGTATCTACATTTTAATCCTTCCCTGCACATTTGCATCTACAGTATTGCCATTTATATCCCTCTCTGCACAATAACTTATTCTTAGCATCCATGCAACAGTCTCTGAAAAAAGGCATCAAACTGGTCCCATCGGTTGCAAATAAATAAATTTCTTGCTGTGCGCTGTTAAGTCACCCTCGACTTCTTGCAACCTCATGAATGAGGGCTCTCCAAAAATATCTTGTCCTCCACAGCCCTGCTCAGCTCTTGCAAAAAAACAAAAGTTGTGGTTTCCTTGAGGGAGTCCGTCCATCTCATATTCAGTTTTCCTCTTTTCCTGCTGCTTTCCACCTTCTATCATCCACCTGGTCTTATCTCTTCTAGGGAATCCTGCCTTCTCGTGATGTGCCCAAAATTGGACAGCTTCTGTTTCTTTGTATTTTGCCTCCAGAGACAGTTTAATATGATCTAGGACGCACTGGTTTGTCTTTCTGGCAGTCCAGAGTATCTTCAAAACTCTCATCGTGCACCACCTTCCAAACCCATCAGTTTTTTTCCTGCGTCAGTAAGCAAATAAATGTCATCAATAAATAAAATGATAAATAAGTACCTTTTTAAAAAGCAACCATCAAGCAGTGTTGCCCAGTGGTTAACTGTTTGCACTTGGTGGGTTATAATAAAAGGGCCGGGAGAGGTCCCAGTTGTGCAATCAGCACACAACCAGGCGTGCCAGCAGGACACACCCCAGTGTTTCACCAATTAGCTGCAGTTAGCCATCCACAGTGAGACACACAAGCCTCATGCAAACACCAGGAGCACTCTGCCCACCCTGAATAAGGCGTCTTTGCTATGTGCAACTAATTTCGTCGTGCCAACTGCGCAACCACCCATTATCACAAAATTGATGGCGCCGATTTGCTTTGAATAAGTCAACTCCCTACGTTCACCGTGCAATACTGTACTATATTATGACAATGTTTGCATTCATGGCGCGTCATATTGTGTGACAATGCTTTGCACCTTATGGTCATGCAGGACAAGACTGGCAGGGATGATCATTAGATAAATAATAAGTCTTTAAAATCCAGTGGAATCATTTAAAATAAAGTTAAAGCATAGTGGGATCTGGTGAATGCACTGGGCTAAACTGGGACCAGCCTAAAACTCAGTTAAAACTTGAGCCTTTCTAGCTTCACTTCCAAAATAGTAGCTTTCTCTTGTGCAAAGAAAGCTGCTTGATGGGGATATTTTTAATTGCTATAGGCAGACTTGGGAAGGGAAGGCAGCCATCAGGTCTCTGTGGCGCAATCGGTTAGCGCGTTCGGCTGTTAACCGAAAGGTTGGTGGTTCGAGCCCACCCAGGGACGCTTTTGATCCCTCCCTGGACCGTTCGTAAAGGATGCCTGGTCTCCCTTTGCAAAAACTGCCGGTCTTTGCAATGTGCAAGATCTTGCAGCGAAGGAAGGGCGAGGCGGCTTCTGCCCACCACAATAATGGCGGCGCTGCCAACCCATTCAAATGCAAAGCCATGCGGTTGCAAGGAGGTTGAACCCCTTGCAAATAAAGGGTGCAGACAGAGAGAGAGAGAATTTTGGACTACATCTCCCAAGATGCCTCACAGTGGGAGGGAGGTGGCCTTACCGAAACAGATGGGCAAATAATAATACATAACAAGGTTTTTGGTTAAAACTTGTATTTCTTGTAAAACCACTCAATGCTTTTATCATTTTGATTGTGCCTCTGAATTATTATTATCATTATTAATCATCATCATTATCAAAAATTTCTGGCACAGTTAATCAGAATTATAAACGCATTATTATTGTTACAGTATTACTTTTCTGTAATTAATAAGGATGATCATAAGGATAATAATAATAGTAAA